ACATAAAATAAAGACTTCCACAAATTGCAGGTGTTCTGATAATGCCACTGAGGTCAAGGTGTACATTATCTAATAAACCGAGACTGCGAACATGTGTTTTGTTGTGGGGAATTTTATGATGTTTTGAGAGATCACACGCGTCACATGACAAGGTATTAGGGATTTGTGAAGAAGATAAACCCATCCCTTTTACACTATTCTGCATAGCCATCGTTTTTAGGTATCGAACGTTTGGATGACCTAGACGTCGATGCAGGTTTAGTACGATATCGTCAGCGTTTGAAGTGATAGCGTGGGCTTGAGGTTCATGATTTTCAATTGAAATTGTTCTCACAGTCAATCTCAACAGATTTACACCTTCATGTAGTGTTCCTTTGAAAGCTATGTTATTATCTTTGGTGATTATGAATTGATTGTCTTCTTTCTTCGTGATGAAGTCATTTTTAAGTAGGATTGTTCCTCCAATTAAGCTTCTCTTGAGGTCAGGGATGTGTAAGCAATCATTGAATTCAAATTGATGACTGTCCGGACCGAAGAATTTAACATCTCCTCGTCCATGAATCAGAAGGGTTGCTTTGCCACCTGCTAAATCGAGTGACTCGTTTTTGTTTCTGACATTAACGTAGTTGCTGAAGATATGGCAATCCTTGAACATATGGTGGGATGCGGCTGTGTCTATGAAAACTTCAATGTCTGATGAATCTGGATTTAATTTAAGCTTGGATAATGACTGAAGAGAAACGTGACTAGCTGAAGCATTTAGTGAATTGAATGATTTTTCTAACTCCTCAATTGATGGTTCGTTAGGTGAAGTAATAACAGCCGCAGATGTATTAGATAAATCTTTTGGTGGATCACCGTTCCATTGTCCTAGTTTTACTTGTTGCTCGATCCATTCTCTTTGTAGATGTTCGTTACCCGGTTTCTTGAAGCACATGTCAGGGTTATGATTCAAACCGGTACATCGTTTCTTGGTACATTTGTTTGAGAACTTGTTTCGGTAAGATGATTTTGAGATAGCACTAGCTTCGGCAGCATGGTGAACAACTGTCGTCAATTTTGGAGCGGCGGTGTTTCTTTTGAGCATTGCGACAGCATTGATTAGTTTCTTCAATTCGGACACAACTTCGTCGTACTTCGTAATGTTCAGAATTGTGATTTCTTTGGCATCCTGGAAGTAACTGTTATTCAAAGAGATGAGTAGTTTTCTTCCTAGATATTCATCTGACATTTGACCACCGGCAGTTTTGTACTTAGTGACAGAGTTTTGAAAGTTTTCGATATGAGATAAAAGTGGTAAATTTTCTGGTTGAACAATAATGTTTAAAGCCCTTTTGAGAAGGAGTCTTAGTTCAGCTGATCTGCCTGAGTGATGTGCATTCACTGCTTTCCACAATTTTGCTGGTAAGTGTAAAGTTTCTGGCCCGTCTTTGTTATATTGAGTTATTTTGGGTTCAAATCTGGATCAATTTATGTCGTCCATGTTTCCTAACATCCATGTAGCTATCACCGACCTACACACCTCGTCACTAAATTGATTGCTTTCCATTTTGAAAGTATCTGATTTGAGGTAGTCTGATAGGAAGTATTGACTTAGATTGGTGCGAATGGATGCAGACCATAATCCAAAATTTTCGTCGGTTAATATCTTCTTTGGTAATTTATGTAGCACTTGTCCTAAAGCCATAGCTTGTTGTTGAGGACTGACAATTGTTGTTGGGGGAATTGTTGAAGACATTTCTAAAGAAGGTGGATTATTGTCTATTGGATTACTGGACGATGAAGAGGGATTAGGATTTAATGAAGAGGGTGGTTTAAGCAGTGAAGATATGTTGATAGTGGTTGTGTCTCCTTCGTCTTCAGAAGGATCGTTAGATTGAAGGTTGCTTGAAGTCTGTGCAAAGAATTTGTCTTCTTCCGGGTTATTGCTCATTCGTAGGTGGATCGATTAGTAAATGTATCTCTCGCTACCATGTGAATAAGCTTGGAGCTTTGGAACACGTATCTGATAAAGCACCAGCTAGTATAAGCAACAACTTAGAGAAAACGAGACTTGTCTAATGGGACTTCTGACCTGATAAAGCACCAGCTAGTATAAGCAACAACTTAGAGAAAACGAGACTTGTCTAATGGGACTTCTGACCTGGAGGGTGGTACAGAATTTCAGATAGACAGAATTAGTTATATAGGTATCACTTTGTTTGATACTGATCTTAGGAACTTGAGAGAACAGATTTTTCTCTTTCCAAAGATATATTTATTCACCTGATGAAGCACCAGCTAGTATAAGCAACAACTTAGAGAAAACAAGACTTGTCTAATGGGACTTCTGACCTAAACAACGAGATTAGAGAAAGTTAGATAAAGTGAAGAAACGATAAGAAATAAGACACTGATTAGTATGTACCTGAAGGGTGGTACAGAATTTCAGATAGACAGAATTAGTTATATAGGTATCACTTTGTTTGATACTGATCTTAGGAACTTGAGAGAACAGATTTCTAACACATCAAATAGAGAAATGAAACATAACGGTTAATTAAAGCATTGAGAGAAACAGTGATAATAGGGAAATGAAAAGTGAAAAAGTACGTACTTCTCTTTCCAAAGATGGGGAAAGAGAAGCACATAGGAATTGCTACGGGATATATATGATAGATGATTTAGAAACGAAGAAACAAAAGATTGGGGTAATGTTAATGTAAGTCTTTGTTCTCATCTGATATGTGATTCTTAACGTTGATCTTTTATTGTCTACTCTTTTACTTCTCTGTTAGTCGATTCCTTGTAGATCATAATCCCTACAAGTTTATACATTTTTCCTTAGTGATTTACTAGCCTAAAAGAAGCTAGTAGCTCACATATGATCTGAAGAGAATTTGCTATTGAGCAAAGTTCCATGAGTTTGAAATGTGACATTTGGCTTCGAAGGGGTGTGCCTCAAGAGATCATTGGCAGACTCAATGTCTGAGCTTACCACACGGGCCTAGTTGAACAAACTAAATTAAGAAGGAAACCATGATGCACGAAAATGTTATGAAAGAGAAGACACAATGGGTATATGATCTATTCAAGTACAACCTAGGATGCATGCAAATGATGTATTAAAGAAATCAAAGCTTGTATTCAATTGGATAGTCAAGCTTTCAAATTTTCACATTGTCTTGAATTTTTTTGATCTTATCTATAAGTTCATCTCTGCTTGTATAATACTTTGAGAATTCCCACTGCAATGAAGTATGGCTACTCCTAAATCTCATTTGACCATGATCACGATTATTACCCTCATGATGATGCGCTGTTTTACCGCACATGAGGGGATCCTACGAAAGAAGAAGTAATCTCAAGAACTGTTTTTGAAAATTTGATGACCAAATTAACTTACAAGAGACAAATAATTGACGCAAAGCGTTGATACATCAAGATCCCTCAGTTTGGTATTGGTCAGGGAATTCTCTTCAATCCGCAATTAGTCACTTTGACATAATGATTGATTGGAATTTTTTCTGCAATAAAAGCTCTTGTTTCCTGCTGTCCTCAAGTTCAGGACGCACCATTGAAACCTTGTAACACCATTTTCAAGTTGAATCACTCTCAAGCTCTTCAAGTAAATAGCTTTTGTTGATATGGGTTCGGATATCTTTTACACATCTAGTCACTATGATTTTCAAGTGGACCACAGCTAAGTTCATCCAAGAATCAAATTTGGTATACTTTTGCAATATAGTATATTTAGGGTGTATGTACGGTCCAATGTAGATGAAATGGCTTTCCAAATTCCATGAAAGACCCAAGGAGCGTTAAAGATGATCGGCATTTGTAATGACTACATTGGAGAGAAGCCATATCCGTAATTGATGCTGTTTGGAGGATAGACAAACAGAAAAATCGGCCTAGGGGTAATACACAAGACATTTGTTCAGAAAAATCATAGCCTTCCAATCTACGTTCACCGACCCAAATCCGCTGAATGAGTTTGTTAAATTCGTCAGTTGCCAGGATCTGGACAAGGAGAGGAATTGGAACGCACACAAGCTCAATCACCACAGTGATTTTGGGCTTCAGATTGATAGTAAACATTTGAATACTTTCCATGGCATAAACAACCGGTTAGGAGATTTTTACACTCAACCGTTTACACTCGATATTGAGTGTAAATTTGGTTGTGTGTAAAAATTCATGTTACAGGTGTGTAAATGAATTTTTACACTCAATCCGGCCAAATTTGTAGAGTGCAAATATTTTGTGTGCAAAGGGATGAGTGTAAAAATTCATTTTACCCACCAAAACATACAATTTTACACTCTTTTTTTTTACACTACATATTGAGTGTAACAAAAAGGAGTGTAAAATTCCGTATAGGGCGGAAATGTCCAAATTTACACTCCATCTCATTTACACTCAATCATGAGTGCAAAGCCTCTGAGTGTAGATTTCAAGTGACATACCACTTACATTTATTTTTACACACGTTGGACTTGGCAAAAAAATACGTTGAAGTTTTGACTTAGCCAAAATTGTTCAGCGTGTTCTCTTATCTCAAGATTGCCCTCAGTTTCCTCAAGGAGCTTCATGTTCCACATGGTGCTGGGAGTTTTTCCACCGCTTAATTGGCCCATATCATTTAATCAAGGGCCCCCATTGAACTCACAACACAAGATACAAATAGAGAGAGAAGAGAAACCACAGTCTAATGACTCCTGCGCTTACCTTCGCAATCATGATCAAGGAACAAAAAGAGAAACATTAAAGGTGAAACACAAGTACAAATCAAGGAACTATTTCTTTGCTCTCCCTTTGTTGCCCCTAGCCTTAGCCTTTGCCTTTGCCTTTGGCTGAACCTTGACTTCAACCAAGATGTCTCCCTCTTCTTGAACACCAATACCATCATCTGCCTTAGCGGCGTGTTTTCGGGTCTTGGAGGGTCTCTTAGAATTCTTCACCACATTTTTCTCAGGTGAAGGAGAAGCAGATTTGTTCGGACTCGCATTGGGGGCCGGTCATTTGATACTGAAGCGGAGCTTGATGCTTTCTTGGATGGGTTCTTTCGGCTCGGGGCCAGAGATGCTGGCCGAAGGATTTATGCGTTGAGTAGGAGGGTTATTGATCCAAGAATTAGCTGGCGGAGACAGGGCTTTTAGATCCTCCTGACCTGAAAGATCATCATCAAAACCGTTGTCAAGGTGTGAATTAGCCACAAGTTGACTTGATTCAAGGATTTCGGTATTGACTGCCAAGGTTTGAGTGAAACAAGTCTTGAGTTATCAAATCAAAAGTATGAGCATGAATGAGAGAGCTTACCCGCCGATACAAAGGCTCTCCTGGCCTTGTTTGTTGCTGGTGCATTTGGAGGCGGCGCAGGTATCTTGGTAGCCTGTGAGTCATTTTCAGTCTTGATGGCTGAGTGCGAAGGGAAAGTAGGCTGGTATCAACTACTGCTTAATCAATATGTAAATAACAGTGAAGACTTACCTAAAGAGGTGAACGCTTGCTTCACCGCATTAATTGGGCCCGTCTCGATTGATGCTACATTGGAGGGAGGGGAGTCCTCGTCAATCTGATCTTGCATGCCTTCTGAGTCGTTGGCTGACACAAATGGTACATCACCAAGGGCATCAGGGTTCTTGGCGGTGATTTTTGCAATGCCAGCATCAATGATTTTCTGTTCCTCAGTGGTAGGCTTTTGTTGGTAGATGAGCCAACTGGTGGATGGTTGGGCTCCTGACATCAAGTCCAGATTGCAACCAAGTAGCTGTGCCTGTCCATCATCTTTGCGATTGTCATAGAAACAAACCCCACACACCCCATCAAGATACCTGACTAACTTACACCAGTAGTGATTGAAACCCCAAAACCCTTGCGATGCAATTTTGTATTCAGTGTTGTTGAGCGTAAATGATTTGGGCCAAACTGTCTCACCCATGAACCTGGTCTGATTGTCGGGTTTGAGGCCCGCAACACCATATAGGTGATGGGGAGAAATCCAAACAGGACCTTTCATACAACCAAGGGACGTGTTTGGACGGATCAACTTCGAGATATGTCAAGTCGGCAGAGTCATCAGGCTGAGTGGACGTGGGTTGCTGACGATGGTCGGCAAGGCAACTTGGGCAGCACCACGCGCTGGTAGTGAAAAGTCCTCCGGTCTCCCACCGGTGGATCAGCTCAGTCACATCCGAGAATTGCAGGTTAGCTTTGTGGAAGAGTTTGTCAGTTACCTTGACAGTGACATTATCAAGGCCGTCCGATTCTTGATGATAGCCATCATATTGGCTGCATTGATAGTCACGGATAAGCTTATGAGAGAAATGTTGTCCAGCCAAAGGAGGTACACCACCTGGACTCTTGAGTAGATATTTGATGAACAAGTTGGCAGAACAGAAACTATCAGTGATGAAAGAACTAGGCAACACTGATTGAATAGCTGAATGAAGGGATCAAAGGCCTTGAGACAGTACTGATTTGATATGAGCGGATCGATGCATCTCGGACAAAAGTCTCGAAGAATAATGCCGGATGAGTTTGGATGTGATATACTTGCCCTTGCCCTTGGTACCTTCGACCCACAGAGGTGTAAAGGCTGGCAAGATTGATTCAAGTGCCGCTGTTTGCCAACAGCGGTTTTGCTTACCAAGATCGTTGCTTGCCGAGTAAGATTGGTACGAAGAGTGCGAGTTTTGGTTGACATTCAAGGATCCTGTTGGTCGGCCGGCTTTCTTGGGCAAGAAGGGCTTCCGTCATATTGGGGGCTTGTTCATTGTTGAACTTGGGACGGCGGCGGGTGCGTTCTTTTGACCATCCCATGGTCTCAACAACTGAATCCCAATTCAATCCATACTTCACGGGAATGCCACGAAGGAGTTGGTGGTAGTCCTTCTTCAAAGATTCCACAAAGAGTAACGGCTGAATAAAACCCTGGATAATGGTACAATTTCCGGATCTAACAAAGGACCACAGATATATTAGCAAAATTGAGAAGAGAGCTTCATAATGTGCAAGACGTACGTTAAAATATAGTATTGCTGATGCCTGGATTCTTGACCGTTAGTAGTATCGGGAAGCTTGTAATTGTGTAATTCATCTGGTAGTGGTAGATCGTCTAGCGGTAACCGTTCTCGCGAGCAGAACAGCATGGCGTGGATGTCCGCCGTATTCCACCAGTCAATCCAGGCTTTGGCTTTGGGAAATAAACGACTGATAGCATCAAATTTGTCCTTCAGAGTCAGTCCACCCGGTTTGATGGGCTCCAGTAGATCCAGGGCCATCCGTTCGAAGTCACTCTATTGGTATTGAAAACACAAGGCAAGTCAGTCTCAATATCAAGCAGATTGGAGAGTGTATCGAAAAAGAGTGGAATACATGTAAAAGAAAAATACACACCAAGTGACTAGCATCGACAATGTTACGGTTCTTTTTGACTTGAGTTACTGACTGAGGAAAGTGTTCGTGACATCCCTTCAGCTTATCCAAAGCTTTAGAGGGATCGTTTTCGTTGAATACGTCCATATACGCCGCCATATACCCCTTCTTTTGCGCGTGCAAAAAGTCCACCACTTGCTGTACTAACAGTTCCCGCTCATGATAAGTGAGATCAGCCGAATTGATTTGTTGAAGCAAAGTCGTGAAATGTGCCTGATAGTGATTGACGTCAAGTCCCCACATCCAGGTGAGGAGTTTGGGGATCCAGCAATGCTGCAGGTGCACCGGCAACATTTTTGCATGGCATGGTGGTATGCACCAACACAAAGCACTCAGACTTGTGATGTTGATTCACATTAGTGCTGTGTGATGTAATGATCATGTGATTTTAAGTCACTTATTCCGGATGTGATCCAACATCGCATGTGAGTTTGGATGGCAAGGGTTCATGTGATTCAACTGTTCTGTGATTCCACATCACATGAATCCCTTGTGATGTATCTCTATGTGATGTAAAGTCGCTGAGATTGAGATGCATCACTAGCCTCTGTGCCACTCAAACCTTTGTATCGCTTGTTGCACATGTGATGTAAAGCATTAATGGCAACCACTACAAGCGATGCAATATGAAACTTCAAAATGTGATCCATTCGACTGCAAAAAGATTTCAGGAATGAATGATCTGATGAAGTATTATCATTAAGAATTATATGATCGATCTTTTGATTCAAAACATAGACTCAGGTGTTGAGTCTTTATAGGCTCATTCTATATTTATTGCAATCAATTCAGCTTGATGAGTATGCAAATAGGCTCAGTAATCATTTGGATGAGTTAGAATAAGTATCAGATGCCTGAGCTCTCTGTCAAGCAAGCTGACAACCTTTCTCTAAAGCATTAAGTAGATCGATCTTTTGATTAAAAACATATACTCAGACAGTGTTGAGTCTTAATAGGCTCATTCTATATTTATTGCAATTGATTCAGCTTGATGAGTATGCAAATAGGCTCAGTAATCATTTGGGTATCTTTCCAGCCTCAAAAGGGCCGGTATTTGAAGTCATAGTGTGTTTGAACATATCTAGCACCCATAACAGCTTTTAAATCCACGCTTTCACAAAACAAAAACAAAATAATCTGATAACCTTCATTCATCTAATACCTTCACCTCTGAT